ATCTCTTAATAAGGCTGGAGAATTGAACTTTTTGGTAAAAGAAACTTTAACTGCCAAACTACCTACTGCAAAGAATCACGAAGCCCTTCCCAGCAGTGTATAGAGCTCACCTAATGTGTTGCATGATATATGATGTAGCGATTGTCATTAACACTGGTCTTTCTCCACTTCATGCCAAACTCAAAATGAAGTCTAAGTTTTTCCAGAATGTCCTTCATCTTTGAGGCTAGTTCGGCTTTATTTCCATCGATTTATCTCAGTCTAAAAGGCACAACCGCACAAAATTACCGCTATATTCAGGTTTGTCTTTCTTGACAGTATTCTGTCAATCGTACAATTGTGTTCAGGTCATGCCATTTAGGCTATCATGATGGAATCAGCAAGAGTTGCTGCCCTTCATTCCCCAGTCCTTGATGTATATCCTTATACCAAATTCGAATATAACCCATATCAATTTTTAGACTCTTTCTATGCAAAAGTGGGTTTGAAAAGTATTAATTTCTTCTTCGAATTTATTCTGTTTTTGTTTAATTTTAGAAAGACGTATGCAACTCATTGAAACAAGCTGCTGACCTAGGGGCTCGTGGAATTGTTTTGTGGAGCAGTAGTAAGAATATGAAACAGCGTTGTGAAGGTCTTGCAAAATATGTACGAGAGATGTTAGGGCCGTAAGTGATGTGTGATGTAAAAATCTCTTCCGCCGAGAGACCACATAGACTATAACAGTAACATTACAGTACAGTAGCGTTGATCCGTAAAAGAAACCAACGTTGTCGCGAAAAACGATGTTCTTCACATGGACAGTGCGTCCTTCCCGAACCGGCATCTAGGTAAAAACTGTCCCTCCTTGTTTCATTTATAAATTGATGGAGAGATGCGATTTCTATCAGGTGCACATTTCGTATGCAGCCGGCCAATTACATCTGTAGATGCGATGCGTTGTTCACTGGGAACGATTGCTCATTACGCAGGCATTTCCAATGGATTTACAATAGAAAAGGAAAGGATCAGCCAAAGGGATTAAGTCCTGGGAAAAACAACAGGCGTTTAGGAAGGAGACGAAGAGTCAAAAAAATTAGGGTTATCAAGGTGTGATATAGCAGCTTAGCCGTACTAGCAGGATTTGGACCATATGATATAGCCAACACTGAGTATCACATTTTTGGATTGTAGGTCTCTGGTGATGCTGGTGGACGAACAGAGGACGGCTTACCTGCTACGGCAAAAGCAGTTCTAGTTGA